ACACACACACACACACACACACACACAAACATATGCAGGAAAAGATGCAGAGAAAACCCTGAGGGCTGGAGCACCTTCTCTGCAAAGGGAAGTTCAAACACTGGAGTATTTTTAGCCTGGGAAAATACATGCAAGGGGTGTGTGTGTGTGTGTGTGTGTGTGTGTGTGTGTGTGTGTGTGTGTGTGTGTGTGTGTGTGTGTGTGTGTGTGTGTGTGTGTGCGCGCGCGCGCAATATGGTTTAAACATTATGGAAAGGGACAGGGAGACTTTCTCCTCCTGCAGTGGTGGGTGCTTCCTGCTGCCAGGAGCCAAAGCCAGCACCAGACCGGTCAGGTTCTGCAGACAGAACTGGGGGTAGGCGTGGGGAGGTGCCATTCCCACCCCCTCCTTGGCATTAGGCAGCAAAATACTTTGGGTCAACCCTGACTATGGCTGCAGCCTCTCCTGCACAGCGGGACCCCTTTTGAATTGGGGCCATGCTGGAGAGTCCTGTGGGGAAGAATGCCAAGCCTTGGCTGCTGCCTCATTTTCAGTTGTGCGCTCCCCAGAGAAAGGAAAACCAAAGGGTCCGTCACCCACAGTGGAGGAGGCTTCCAAGCTGCACTCAAAATGTGTGGGCTCTGGCAGGGCTGGGAAATTTGGTGTGAAGACTCAGTGCAGGCAGAGCGCACTGCATGGCTGGCTGCATGACACACGCGAGATGCACCAGATGGGACTTTGGAAAGAAGCCATCTCGGGAACACGGTTCGCTCAACCTGCAGCCACTGATGGGGGCAGTGAGATTGAGCCCCACCGAGGCACTGCTCTGGAAACACACCTTCCTACCAAGAGGAGGTACTTTGGTCTCCCCTAGCTGCTTTGGCCCAGTGCGCGCACACCCCAGGTGGTCAGCCACCAGCTTGCCATCCCTCTTGGCGCTTCTGCTCTTTGCCAATATAGGAGTCACAGACTTCAACTAAGAGATGTTGAATGGATCGTTTGCTGAGTAGATTTGCCCACAGAGCTGGAGATATTGGTATTGATCCCACATGTCTGGAAGTGCCACCTGATGATGCCCCCAACCCCCACTCAGATTGGCCTTGAACGCTTGCCATCTCACATCAGAGCATGAGGGGCTACAGCTCTCCTGCTGGCACCGTCTCTTTTCCCAGTATGGTAAGGTCTGAGGAGGAGTTCTGAAATGCCCCAAAGCTGGATTTTCTCCCTTTTCGAATATATGTTGGTGGTGTGATAAACATACTGCCCCACTCTGGTTTTTCATTTTACTCACAGCCACGCAGTTGTTTTGGTTTGTTTGTTTAATTTCTGCTGCTAAGAAGACCTGCCACACAACCAAGAATCTTAAAAAGCCAACATTTGCACCAAACTGCCTGTAGAGTCCCCTTCTATAGGGCACAAACAAAACTATTTAATGGGGTGAGGGGGAAAAGGGCACTGAAGGTTCAGCATCCTGGAAGCATGAATCACATCTGGAGCTTGTAGTAATTCTCCCCTCTCTTACCAATGTACAATTTGCCCCCACCAGATTAGAGGTTTGGAGGCCAAAAGATGGAGGTGTAACTGAGCTGGGAAAACGGGTTTCTCTGTGCACCTGTAGCTTTGGATTTGGGAGCAAAGCAGCCCTCCCTTCCACACACCCTCTAAGGAGGGGAAACGGCACCCTCTCGCACCATCCCAAGGCCTCCTGGAAGCAGTTGAGAGCAAACCCACGTCCTGTTTGGAAAGAACTGTTCTGGAAAGACTGCTCAGGTGGTAGCCATCAAAATGATGACTTGGAAGTGCAATTAGGAAATGAAGAGAAGGCGCTTGGCCCATTCCCATTCCTTAGGCTTCTTCCTTGGCCAGCTTTCCTGGCATCTTTAAGGATTATGGCACACACACACCCCACAGCACCCCTCTGCAGCATGCGCTGTCTAAGCCGTGCCCAGCTTTCCATTCTCATCTGTGCAGTTGCAGGGAGCTGCGCTACTGCTTAGCCATTAAAAACAAAAACCAACCAACCAAACAAAACCCCCAAACCTCTGGCCCCCTAACCCTAACCCTAACCCACCCACCAGCCAGCTCCTCCACATCTTCACCCATTGCCCTGGGACACAAACAGGACACCATCATCCCCAGAGGAAAAGCACTCTCCCAGCTGGGGGGGGGGGCTCAGGCCCTGGAGGCTGGCCCTGGAAGCTCCTGCCAGCAGCCACCCCATGAGCCAAGCGGCAGGCGCTGTTTTTGCAGGCGTGAACAACTCCCCGTTAGACAACAACCCCTGCAATCTCAAGGCTGGGAAAGACCTGAGGAAGCGCCTGCACCCTAATTTTTGCAATCACTCTCCCTTGATCTTTCCCTCCATTGACTCCAGGAAGACCCCGATGGGTCTGCCGCCTCTCTTTCTGCCGTGGCGGCTGCTGCCTCCCACCAGCTTGCATCCCAGCGCCTGCAGGCTTCCTCTCAAAACCGCTAAACCCACACATGGGCAGCAACCATGGTTACCATGGCATTTTCCCAGAGGAACATTCACGAAAGCTGATGGTGGGAAAAACAAGGCTGACAGCCATGATGCCCCACAGACCCCCCCCCCGAAGGCAAGAGCAGACACCCCCCCCAACCCACCAGAGCAAGAGCATCCAACAGCATCCCCACCTGGCTCTAGGGCACCACTGAAAAGGTGTTCCTCTGTGGAGAAAACTCTCCGGGTCCAACCCGTTCTTGCAGCCAGCCTAAACAACCCAAACCCCACCAGGGCCACCAACAGCTTAGCTTTTTGAAAACACAGAGCAATAAAAACAGAGCACTCTAATCCCGCAGATCGTTTCAGCATGAAGAGATTTTTATTTTTTTAATGGTGGATCTCATTTGTCTGATTCCAAATCCACTCAGAGGGGCTGAGGGTTAAGGTGGCCCAGAAAGTGTCAAACCATGAAACTGTGGGGGTAGGGGGTGGGGGGGGTGGAAGGGAGCATGGCACACACCGCCCCCTCCAAGAACACCGCCTGGGGACGGCTGGCCCTTGGGCGCTGTCCTCGAAGGGCAGCAGACACAAAACCCTGCGCCACCGCCGCCGTGTCTCTCCACCGGCCAGGACGCAACAGCTGGGAAACAGGGAGCCTGGGGCCAAACAGACCTGCTCCACACGTCCGCGCGCACAGAGGACGACCACACCAGCCAGCCTCTTTCCTCTGAGCATGAGAGGCTCTGGATGCTTAAATCCCACAGTGACGCAGTTTCAGGGGGCTGAGGGAACCGAGGCACCCCCAGCCTCTCATTGTTCCAGGTCTATTGATCGCCTTTCCAGCCAGTGCTCAACGTGACGTTGGCATCTGAGTCAACAGCCATCATCATCCAGGAGCCCAGAACCTGACCGACCAGTGCGTGGCTGCCTCTCCCCAGGGGTCTGCAGGGCAGCCTGGCCCAGCGCCCCAGAGAGGAAAGTTCCCCCAAGCCTTTGGGAGGCAGGTCAAAAGCTGGCTGCGGTGAGACCCCCACAGCCAGTGGAGGCGACAGGCATCTAAGTTATTCCTCCACCCAGGAACCTTTTCCACCGGAGGCAGCCCTTGCAGGACCCGAGCAACCAGGGGAAACCCCAGCACTATCCCCACCCGAGTCCTGCAGAGGGCTCTCCCAGGCGGACTGCGGTACTGGCGCCCGCCCGACCGACCACGGCGGGGGCGCCCGCATCTGGCCCGACGTGGAGACCTTGCGGATGAGCTTGTGGGAGCTGTCCTCCTGCTCGCCTTCGCTGTCCGAGGACTCCTCGCCCGGGGCATCGCCGGGGGCCAGTCGGTCCACCTCGAGGGACAAGCCGGACTCGCGGCCCTTGCGCAGGAACAGCTCCCCCGGCGGGGGCGCCAGCTTCTCCGCCATCGCCGGCGCGGAC